TAAGGGGTTTTGTGGTTGTTGCTTTATTTTAGGTTACTTTATTATTTAAGGCAAATGAAAGTTAATGTGACAGCAAAATATTTTGGTTAATCTCCTATCGCTCTATGGGTGTCAAAATGTCATCAATAATTTTTCATAGTTTCATTATAACTAATTCCTCTTTTTAAAAGCCTATCTTATAGAGTAAACTGCAAAAAGATTTCCATAGAAATAATAGGTAGAGCTTTATATCTAGTGGATGGCTTTTACATTGATGAGAATGGCACAGCTTTCATTATTTCCTTTAAGCTATAACTTCTGTCAGCACCTTTCTCCTTTTCTACTTACTGAGAACCTGTAGAAGCAAAAGGTAATAATTTTTTTTTAAATACAGCCTGCTTAATAACTGTAAATGCAACAAAGCCTATCAATTTGGTAAAATATACAGAGGTACTCAGTGCTGACAAGAGTCCAGGAGGCAATCATTCACACTGCACTGCTGAGAGAAGAGTGCCAAAAGCAATTTGATTATGAATAACAAGATTCTGAAAATGTCTAGATATGTCCAGTAATGATACTTCTAGTATTCACATGCAAAAAGATTCATCACATAACAAGATGTAAATACAACAATATTCAACAAACATTATTTGTAATAAGGAAAAGCTACAACAAACTTGAATGACCAGCTGTATGAGGAGACAGACAAAATCAGAATGCTTTGTAACAGCACTACTATGTGACAAAAAAAAAAAATCATGTTTTAAAGAAATGACTAATATCTCCTGATAAAAACACCAGCCATAAAAAGAAATACTGCTAGGCATGGTGGTGTATGCCTTTAATCCCAGCACTCAGGAGGCAGAAGCGGGCAGATCTTTGCGAGGCTAGCCTGGTACTTGGTGAGTTCCAGACCATTCAGGGCTATACAGAAAAAAAAAAAAAGAAAAAAAAAAAAGTAATGCTATACATTTTATACATGGTATACCATTTTGCAAAACTTGTTCATTATACATGATAAATACAAATGAATAGACACAGAAAACTATATAGAATGTTCATACAGTTGGTCTTTATGAGGACTATAGCAGTTATTTAAATTTCTCTTTTATGCTCTTTAGCAATCTCTTTATTACACTTTTACTGCCCATTCTCTCCCTACTGAACATAAACTCTATAATGACAGAAAGTTTGTTCTTTTGTTGATTGCATTTAGATAGCACCTAATACATATAAATCATCCAAGCATAGTGGTAATGAACAAATACAAATACATATGGATACATATGACTGACTTTCATAATCAGAAAATATAACTTTGAAAGAAAATACAAATTCCCTAATTTGTATTAACTAACCTAATTTGGGCCTTTAAAGGTAGCCATTGAGGTCAATCTCTCACTTTCTAATCAACCATCCTTAATTCTTGGAGAGAATGAGGGAAGAGGACACGATATCTAACAAGCTAGAAGTTTTGCCGGTTTCCAGTTGACATATCAATTATTAATAACATGGATATCAGTAACATGTTAATGACATTGAAAACCATAATGTTCTCCCATTACCCACTGGACAACTACAGGTGTTATTCATCTATGTTGATCCATTTGGGTTACAGGGATTACTTGATGGTGATTAAAGCTACTCTTTAAAGCTCTCCAGCCTAGACATCAACTTCAATGGCTAAGAATATTAAAAATAAATAAAAAGGAATTTCTAACTAAAATAAGCAGAAAGGAATTCTAGTCTCATAAACAGATGACTAGGTGGCAGGCAATGGCAACTTCATCTATCTAGAATTCAAATGGGAATTACTCATTATGATGATTCAAGAGATGTTAAGAAGGTCAATACTGGAGACAGACAACTGGATCAGTGGTTAACATCACTAGCTGTTCTTGCAAAGGATCTGGATTCAGCTCCAAGTACCCACATGGCGGCTAACAATCCTCCCTAACTCCAGTTCCAGGGTATCAATGCCCTCTTCTGGATTTGAAGCTCTTTTTGTGGACTCTTAACAGCACATTGTATCTGGAAAGAAATGAGCACAGTCAGTGGCTACTTTCAGGTATTCAGGGAAGTTATAACCTGAATTACAATGACAGGAATGTATTTCAGAAAGTTTCATGGAAATAAATTTACTTTTATAGCTTAATAAATCTTTTTTAAAAGAGAAAGAG